ACAGTTAAGGATCACAGACTGCACATAAATTGAGATCAGTACCTATTTTCAAGTATCTACTAGGTCAAAGATTAGAAAAGAGAAAGAGAACCCTTCACAATTCAAACGACAGTAGTTTGACAGTAAGGAGAATAATAAGCAGAAGATTTTGAAACTGAAAGGAGAAAGAGTACGTTTTAGCCTTTACACAGTCACAAAATTGCAACATGCATAGGTGAGAGACTTAGGACTTCTGAGCACATTCACAGAAGTACAAGAGGAAGCCACGAGTATGTCCACTATTAGCAGCTAGACACAAATGAAAAAAGTAATTACCATGGCCAGTTTAACAGCTCTGGTACACATTCAACCATTTAATCCTTTTTCTAACACATGCACCGTCTCTTAATATACTAAAAAGTGAAGCACAAGGTACTGGACTGTGGTAACATGACCATGTTTCTCCTGACAAAACACTACCAACAATTTTAGCTCAGGGCTGCTCCACGTTAGGTAGGAGCTAGCAACCTTGTCACGTTGCTTCTCTATTTTACATTCCTCCGCTTGTGCTTCTTCTTTGAGCTGTTTAAAAGAAAGAAAAACACTCCCAAAACGATGGGTTGCTATAAGCAGCTTTTTTTTTTTTTTTGAATTGGATGTTTGGCAGTGTGCAGAATAGCTTTTAATTTTGTGAAAAAGACAGTAAAAAGAGATAGGAAGTAATGTTTGGGTTCTACATCCAACAATTCAAGAGCTAGAAAATATCTGCTCTATGGTTATCCACATCACTAATTTTAGTTACACAGCCTGTGCAGTGAAAGCGACACAGGAAGAAACCGCACATGACCGCATAATTAAAGATACTCAAAAAGCACAGAGGAAAGGCTGTTCAGGCAACGAGAAACCGTCCTTTACAGATTCATCATTCCTGGCTTGTCAAACAGCACTACTAAAGAATATCCTAATATCCTTTCTAAAACATATATATTCTTATTACATTAGGGCCTTAACCAAAAGGGCATCCCCTCAGATTGAACCACAGCTCTTCCATGTGAAATACATTTTTCTGTATCCGGAACAGATCAATGGTTTTCTACCACAGTTGACTTCTGCTGGGGAGGAAGAATCGAGATCTAGTACGTTGGCTCTGAAATCAAAGTAGCCTTCCAGCCTTTAATATAAGTTCTTGTCCACTACATATTGGGAACACCTGCTAAAACAAAATGATAAAGTGACAAACTTAAGTAGACACTTGTTTTAACAAACAGATGGACAGGGATTTGCTCATTGTGTAAGTTACATCTGCTGGCTAGCAGGCTATGAACAGGCCTGTGATGCAGAGTTCCTTTAAGCCATGTACTACTCATCTTTGTTGAGAAGTTATACATTGGCTCACCAGTCAAACAGAACCCTTCAAGCACTTGGGAACATATCAGAAATAATCATGTCTGCCCAAGCAAGAAAGGCCATAGTTCTGTAATAAAAAAAATCCCAGGTCCATTCGAAGAATGGCAAAAGCTGTTGGACAAGACCATGGACAGCCACAGAAAACCAGGAATTTGGAAGCCTCTCCACATTGTCAATGAGAATGCATTAAGTGTCAGCCTTGCCAGGAAAATCAGTATACGCTTTTGAGTCAGCTCCAAGAAATCTTCACAAGTCACATGAGAAGACACTTCTCACAAACAACAACAAAATCTAAGAAAATCTAAGAAAAAGAAAAGACACTGCTGTGTCACTTTCAGCTTTTGCATCTTCTGAGCATGAGCACCACTCCAGAAAGCTTCCTATAACCTGTTTGTTTCCATTCAAACGTGAAGAGGTCATGAAACATGAAGAAGTCATTACTGAAGAACTACATGTCTCAAGACGTTTGCGTTCTACAATGTAATCTAGACTTATGATATACATCATATGTGTTTCTTCAATTGAAAATTGAATTTGCTGTTCCTATTCAATCACTTGCTGTCACCTGAGTCAAGGTTGGTACCACCAACAAAAATAACTTTTCACTACATACATCATATTTTTGGCCCTTGTAAGGTAAAAAACAGTCATGCCCTTAGTATATGCAATGGCATCATAAAGAAGCATGATTCCCCTTACACCATACCCCCAGAACACCCATGGAGGAATCACAATGTGGGAACTTGGCCCATGGTAGTGAAATTGTTATTAACCATGACAGGAGGGCTCATTCTCAAGTCAGACTTGAAATATACTGGTGTTACTCCTCAGCTACATGAAAAGGCAGCAGGTGGTAACAAAGAAGAAATTTCAGGTTAATATAACAGGCAATCACTCAACTACTCATAATTGCTTGGAGGTTCCCTTAAAATTAAAAATGGGGACTCAAGTTTCTTGTGACAAAGCCACAAGTAAGCCTGATGGCACCAGTATATTCATACAGAGCAAATTTTTTTTTTCTGTCAGTCCAATACCTTGGACTGCTAACTGCTCACAAAAAAAGTAAGGAAATTTCTGAAGCCATTGGTTGACTTGAGTCAGGATGGCCATACAGCACAGGAACCTAACTACAAGAAGAAACAGAACAGAAAATACATCTCTTCAGCTAAGCAGACAGTGATTACATTGATGTGATTACTCAATTACTTAACTGCCAGGGGCTTAATGTTGTTCACACAGCAAGAAGCAAAATTACACACGTTAATAAAGTGATTGGAATATTCATACACCTCTTGATATCTTGCAACTGATTTCCCCCCCCCCCCAGAAGTTCATTTAACAGCTGCACAAGACTTGTTTGAACAGCCAGATGAAAAATTCTAGCAAACCAGAAAATAGAAGTATTTTTTGCCAAAGAGCTGCAATGCAAATTCACAGTTAACAAAAGATATGACAAACATAAGGTCAGAGCTAACCAGACAGATACTGTTTCTATGCTTTTAGTTCAGCAGTTAGCTTTGTCACATAAATTACGATGCCAAAAATGTATTATATTATTTGCCAATTATGTACTGGTAAACCATTACATAAGTTAGATACAAAATATGGCCAAGCCTAAAAAAAAAAAAAAAAAAAAAAACACCTCCAATCCAAGGGTATTTTTGATGATAACAGCAGTTGTGCTTTAAGAAGCATGCGTGTGTGTATACATATAAAACTGCAGTGTTTTTACTTCAGCAACAGGAGGTTATTTCTAGGGTTGATTTTACTGATGTTAAAGCAGAATATTCTGGATTTACAGTGACACTGCAGAACCTACTGCATTCAGGCTTGTGATATGGAAAAGAAACTGTATCTAGGTTTGTATGTGGGAGATATTATATACTTTTTTTTTTTTTAGTGTTTGCTTCAAGTATCACAGAACTGAATTTCAGAGAGTCACCAACTTAGAACTGAAAGTGAAACACAGCAAATCTTTTTGACCCAAGGTCCCTATCCCCCCTGTTTCAGCATATATCCATAACCTTATTCATGGGTATATTGTGGCACGAAACAGCAATAACTGTGAAAAATGCCAATAAACAAATGCCTACAAGACAGTAGTTGATCCTACATCAAAAGCTCTATGCCATACTGACACTGTAAATGATGCCATAGATTCACCAGCAGAATACCATTTACCCACTCATCAAAAAAAAAAAAAAAAAAGTCCACAGATAACGTCAAAATAAGGACTACAAATCTTTTGTTTACAAGCAAGTTTTTGCAAGGCCTCTAAAATTCATATTCCATTTAATTAATTCATAAGTACTATAATAAATCATCATTATGAGAAGGTTTTTGCATAGGCACACATCAAGTATTTAAATAAGTGCTTACAGAACAACATGCACTATGGCTATTTTTGTCAGAGGCTGCCTTTAAACATTTTCACACAACATCTTTCATGATGAAGGTCGAATCCTGATGGTGGTGACTGGGCTCTACTACATTCGAAAAGATAAAGATAATAGCACTGCAGACAGCTTTTACTCAAATGTGATGGAATTCAAAACAAAGCTAAAAATTAAACACAGTTACAATTTGAATTAATAAGAAGCAAACAAAAATGGATCCTTGATGCACCTGCTTCAGGTTACATAAAAATTCCTTTTAATAATATTCCCTATATACAACATCTGATTTTAAAGCTTTAACTATTGAATATTTATACAGTGAATCGGTCTACTATGGTGCTGCATAATTTTTTATGCTATTACACGGAAACAGGTTCCATGAAATAACGATTGTTTTTAATTTAATGTGATTCTTCCATTATGACATAACACACTTTTACCTATCCCTATTCTGCACTGCACGTAGGGATGCATCACACGTGCCAGAGGGGGGAAAAAAAAGAAGAAAAAAAAGAAAAAACACTAATATCCTACAAGCCATTAGCAGGCTTGGTACAGGATACAGGAATTGGATTTTATAAATCAGTCCTTCACAAATTGTACACCCTACGCAACCTAATATATCGCAGGAGAACAAGTCCATCGCTATTTAACTCTGCACAAACTGCAGCCCACAACAAAGACCAACAGAACGAGTATTTGGTAGAGCAGCACTGTCAGAGATGGGTAAGGTGCCACAATAGGCAGTCTCGTATCCAAAACAATACCCCAGCTATTCGTAACCTATGGGGAAAGAGAACCCACAAAACAAACAAAATCACGCAAGGAACTGATCCGCCTCGACAACGCTCGGGAAAGCCACCGCTGCTTCTGAACAAAAGATGCCAGACCTCTCATTAACATTTTGCTCTAGCACGTTAACTCCGCGCGATGCCTTTCCAGCAGCGCTTGAATCCAGCCAAAACCTGACAAAACCTCTGCGAAAAAAAAAAAAAAAAAAAAAAACAAAAAAAACCCGCAAGATCTGCTTCTCCAGCGGCTCGCAGGGAAACCTCTCCGAGCTCAGCTCCCCTCAGCGCCCTGCCTGCAGGCCGGGCACGGGGCTCCCAGCGCGGATCGCGGCCCCCCCCCCCCGCCGCCCCCACCCCTCGCAGGCCGCTCCCCGCCGCCACCACGGGGCCGGCCCCGCCGCCCCCCCCTTGCCCCCCAGCCCCACACCTGCTTGCGTGGTGTCGCTGAGGTCGTAGCCGCTGCCGGGGAAGTCGCGGAGCTTCCTCCCGCTGAGGCAGAGGATGCCCGAGCTGCCCGCCTCCTCCAGGGCCCGGTCCAGGCTGCGCACCGTGTGCGGCTGCGGCAGGGTGGCCGCGCCCCAGTGCGGCCCGGCCGAGAAGGAGAGCGTGAGGTGAGCGGGGATCCCCAGCCCCCCCGGGCCGTTGCCGTTGCCATTCCCGTTGCCGTTGCCGCCGCCGCCGCCCCCCTGCCCGGCCGCCATCTTCGCGCGGCGCAGCCCAGCCCCACAATAACAACAGCGGGGCCGCCCGCCGCCGCCACGCCACTGCGCAGGCGCCAACGGGCCCGCAGGGGGCAGAAGGAAAGGAGGGAGGGGGGGGGGGCCGCGAGAGAGGGAGATGGGGGGGGGCGGCTGGAGAGGGGGGCGTGGCCTCGCCGCGCTCTTCGTCCGTCCTCGCCAATCCGCGGCGGCGAGGAGGGAGGGGCGTGGCTCCCCGGGGCGGTGCTGGCCAATGAGGGGCCGAGGGGGCGGGGCGAGTGGCGGCGGCGGCGGCAGCACGCGGGGTGTGGGGGGGGCTCCGGGGGCCGCCGCCCGCGGGGCTGCGGCGGGGCCGGGTCGGGAGGGCGCCGGGTCTCCGGGTCGGCCCCGGGGCGGGGGCTGCGCCGTGTCCTGGGTCGGGCCGGCTGCTTGCGGTACCGGGAGCCGTTTGGCGCCGGTCGTGGCTGTGGCACCGGCGGTCACCGATGGCGCCCTCCGGTTAAAGGGGCGTCCCGGCCGGGCCGAGCATCTGCGGGGGAAGCCGGCAAGGAGCCGCGGCTGGCCGTGACCGCACGTCTGCCGGAGTGGCGTGGAAAAAAAATGCAGAAAAAATAAAATAAAATAAAATAAAATAAAATAAAATAAAATAAAATAAAATAAAATAAAATAAAATAAAATAAAATAAAATAAAGCAAAATAAAATAAAACAAAATAAAACAAAATAAAATAAAAACAAGTGAGGAATTGGCGTGTCAGAACAAAGGGGAGCGGGTCGTGGCCCCCGCGGGGTTTAGGGAGCGCTTCTGCGAGCCTCCCGCGCCTGCCTCAAAATGGGGAAGCCGAGCAGAAAGCATTCAGGCTTCCCTAAACGAGCTGGCCGCCGTGTCCTGGGCCCTGCTACGTTAATGAGGTGCTGCCTGACTGCTGGAACACTCTGGGAGATTAATTAGCTGCGTTACCATGTGATCTGCACTCGTTAGGTGCTGCATATTTATCTGTCAGAAATTACTCTAGAGTCATCATTAAGAAACGGTAAAGAAAGGCTCAGAGACCCGCATTTTAATGCATTTGCTATGGGCTTGATAAGCAGAATCAGCTTTTATGCTTTGATCCTCCTGCCGGTCCTTAAATGGATTTTTTTTCGTGCATGCATGCATCATGACTAATTTGGGGATCTGAGGGAAATTCCTCTTATAAGCAGGATGGAAGAGACTATAGCCTTCAGTCAGCAATATGTCAATGAGAGACAGCTGAGCCATTATTAGTCAAAAGAGGAACAGCCCTGTAATATTCCGTGGGCGATATCTGGCCCAAATTCAAATGAACTGAATTAGCCAGGATCAGGAAGAAGGTACTGAAGAGCGAAGGATTTAATTCTTTGGTGCAGGATTGTACGGGCTCTGGGATCCCTGTGTCACTGTAAATAGATTGGTTTTCCAGCAAAAGAGGCCACTGTGCAAAATTAATGTGTGGCGGGGGAAGGGTTCCCATTGTCACCTGTAAATATTGTGGCTGGCTGCTTCCTTCAGCTTTTGTGGAGCATGTTGATGCTTTTGTGGAGCGTGGGACTAAATCTTACAGCTGAGTATCATCTATCTATGAGTCTGCCTGCGATGAGCCTCTGCTCTTGTCCTGAAAAAGCAAATCATTCCCTGGGTTCACAGCAGGAAAGTTAGACAAACCTGTAGAAACACTGCGGACTGCTGTCTTCGGCCGGATTTCCAACCGGAGAGGGTGGAGGTTGACAAACCCTGTGGCTGATGGTGGGCCAAGTGTGTTTGATGGTTTTGCCTGCAGACGTGGAGCAGGAGGTGCAGTGGCTCTGCTCTGCAGTTGGCAGGAGTGAATCGGAGCATCAGCCAGGAGCCAGCCCCAGCAACTGAATGTTAGAAATAGCTGCTCTGAGTTTGCAAAGCTGATGGTTTGGCACAGGGCCAGCTCAGATTTGCCATTCTGCTGTCCTCCCTTTTAGCCACATCACACAGCTGCCTGCTATTTAAAGCCAAACTGATCTCTGCAACGTCAGGAAGAGGAAAGGGGATGGCTCATTTTGAAGAAATGGGTCTGACAAATCGTCAGAGAACTCGAGTCACTATTTAGTTATGCTGGAGTTCTCGCGTATGAGGGACCTTTTTATCTTTAACACAGTATTCACTGTGTCTGCAGGTGTTCCTACTCAGAAGCACACCAAACTCACTGAGCTTCTTCAGGCACTTGCTCACTCCTTTAAATGCATTAAAGTGTCCAATAAAACAGGCCAGAAACCACAACTGAAACTTTTTCCTAGCAGCTAACAAAAAAAATCCCCAATTTGCAAATTCTATCTTGAGCAAATTACTACTTATTCAGGCAGAAACTTGGAAAATGATTGCATGCTCCTATGATATGGATATGTGCAGATTTACTTTTATGACCATTTATCACCTCAAGTAGCCACGCAATCAGAAGAGACGTCTGGAATGCTGCAGTCTAATAATTTGAATTGTCTTTTATAGTCTGTCTTTTATAGTCTTTCAACAGTTCTTCTACCTGCTCACCCTGCTGCCCTTTCTTTTTTCATTAAGAACCAGTAATAAGAAAAACCAGAGTCACTAGTTTAGTGGCAGAAGGCTCCCAAAGCCAACCTTCTTGTCATAATGAGTAGTAAGTCATAGCTACGCCAGTTTCTTCTATAAAACAGAGATGATAGCATTTTCTTTTTTAATAAGGCAGCTAAAATGAAAACAGGAAGAGGTAGATGTTGTAGTGAGACTGCACTAGACAAACCTATTTTCTCACTACGGTACCACAGACAGCGTCTATGTTTCAGAAGACTGAAAACCACCGAAAATCCCCCACTTCCATGTATAGCTTCCACTTTGAAAGTCTTCGTGGTTACCCACATCCGCTCTAGATGAGATAAAAACTCATAAACTCATAAAGATATGATATCGACTAACATTGAGAGGTACTGTTAGTGCCCTAGAGGAATGAGATCTAGATAAGGCTTTGATCTACCTAACTTTCAACATGTATTGCAAGATGTGGTTATTCAAAAGTCTTGCAGTAATCTTGTTCTGGGTATGACTAAGCCAAGCCATGCTCTGAAGAAGTGCAAGAGCTGTATGGTCAGCCTGCTGTGCAGCACTCACACCTCTTCTGACCACTGCTCAGCATCATTGCTCACAGCTCCACATTTACCTTGAGCGCTGCCTTCTGGAGAAAGCTAGACAGGGTCATCTAGATTGAAAATGCTGGTACAAAACTGATTATGAAAGTAGTGTAGGGAAAGCAAGAGTAGAGTCCCTTATCTCTCATGTACCTTCATAACATCCCCTTCTGTCCTGCAGGCTGTGTCCCAGCTCAGGTCAGTGGCCTGGGCAACTGCGCATGACAAGAGCATCAAAGCACTGCAACAGTGACAGTGCTCGGGGGTGTAATGAGGTGTAATGCCCCCCAGAACTTCCCCTGGATTTGCAGACCTCTGCTGCCTGGCACAAGCTCTGGGCACCTCAAGCCAAGCAGCAGCTGCAGGGTCTGACGTGAGTAGACATCCCCAAAGATCTCAGCGTTCCTGAAATAAATACTTGAGCTGAATACAAAGCAGATCTTTGTCAGTCTGGATTGCCTTTTGCAGTGAGAAACAAAGTCCTCCTAAGATGTCAGCATTGACCTTTCTTTGCAGTCTTTAAAGACTTCCTTGCTTTAAGCAATTAAACACCAGAGCTTCCATAATGTTCTTACTATGTTTCCTTATGAGTAGCCTCAGTCCTCCTACATGTGAGGTACTGAGATAACACATTCACAGTTATTTCAGCACTCACATGATCCTTCTGCCATCTCCTTGATTACTCTTCAATTCCTTCTCACTTTGCATACCAGTGTACAGTCTGTTCCTAATTGATACTGCTTTTCTTCTTCAAGACCTGCAAATGTCTACGACCTCACACAGAGAGTTTAAATGATCTCCAAATAACCAGATTCAAGACTCATACTAAAATGGTATCATTTGTCCCACTTTGAAAGCAAAGCAAGCAAACCAAATAGGTCAAGAGGCAAATAGCACGCTGTCAGTGCTAAAGGGTGGTGATTTATCTGAAACATCATGTTGAAAGAGCTAGAGATAACTCAAAATACTACAGTATCTGATGTTTCAATAGAAAAGTGAGCGGGATTCCATCTGCTTGCTTTGGTGAGCAATATCTATTCTTGAAAGTCTTTTGTACAGACCACAATAAAACAGCAGATCCATTAATGAGAAGGTTCCTAGTACCCTTTCCATTGGGAGCATCTGATTATTTGTACAGCTAGCAACGCTTCATTGAGCACCAGAAAATACATTCTTGAAGGCAGCAGGGAGGGCAGCTCCTACCCTCAAAGATGTAATTCCAAGTACCACTTATTCCAATTGTACACACTGGAAATACCTCCTCGTGGTGCCACAGAGGTCTTTTATCTTTTTTATCCTTAACTGGTCATTGTAGTGTGATTTCTAGAAGTATTTTTAAATTGTTATTATATTTTATTTATTTTGAATAATGTGTTTGCCATGCAATAGCATACTTTCCTTGTTTGTTTATTGGCAAAATTTGAAATACATACCTTTTATTGAAGGTTTACTCTAAATCAAGAGCCTCTGAGAAGCAACATGAACTATAACTGTCTTACACAACCAGCAACAAAGCAACCAGCAAAAAAGCTGCATGCTCTATCAGTGAATCTCCCTTTACTGGGATGTAAGTAGGTTGGATACAGATTGCACTGGAGCTACCAAATCCCCTGTCATCCTGCACATGTGTGGGTTGAGTCCAAGCCCATGCTATTGTAGTTATCTTTAATCAAGTATGTCATGCATTTCACAACTCACATCTCTATCACACAAAAGACTGTCTAAGATAGGAAGTAACTGTTGTGACCTTGTCCTAGATAACTGGACACGAGATGATCAACTGTAGTGTGCTTTAATACAATCATTTTGGTGTGACATCATCCTGTAGGCCTCCAGCTCTAAACATACTTTTCATGGGATGACTTTAAGGATGTTCTGCATATTCCAGAGGTATAGCTAATGGGTTTAGTAAGAGTAGTTCTGCATATACCAGGCTGAGATCTCATTTTCTAATCCACATACATACAGAGAAAAAAAAAAAATCCTTCTCTAAATCCCTTGCAGTCTTACAGTATCCAGACTGCAACTGCTAAATGCATTAAGAAGCAAATCATGGAGCTCTTCATTAACTGTTAACAAGAAGTGGATGACCTGTCAGTGAACAGTTGTTATCACTGAGCAGAACTTGATGATATGCACCTCAACCACCTTATTACATCCACTCATAAGTTTTGCATAAAAGCTGAAGTACTATCATCAAAGTAGCTCACATTCTAGGAATGGTTAATGAAGGCAAAAATCAGCAAGATCAGGAGGCTTGTATTCTCAGTAAGCCTGTGGAACAGTTTTGTTCTCTTCCATCTTCTCAAGATGATTATCAAGTAGCAGCACATGGTTAAAAGGCCATGTTCAGCATCTAACAATAAAACATAAGCTCTTTGATGATGGTGCACCGATTTCGGAGCAAGCTAATGAAGCTATACGGATACCAGTACTCATTAACTGCTGAATTACTCTCCTAGAGCTCCAACCAATTAAAAAGCCTCAACACTCCCCCTTGTGGGAAAAATACGAAATATCACGAAAATACCTGAGAGGAATTCTGGCCCATTGAGATAAGCAGCTATTTATGCTTTGAGCAATTCTGATATACGGTGGAGTGCTTCCATACCAGCAGATACAAAGGTATGTATGCAGATGTTAAATATTTCCTTAACACATGTTCCTACAACCACCCTGACCTACTTCTCAAGAAAAACCCTTCATTTATTTCCTAATGCATCATGTAGTTTTGGGTCTGTTTCACTGAAAGTGAACAGTCATATTTCTGTTATTAAGTAACTGCAAGTTGAGACACCCCTAAGAATAACAGACAAAGTGGTCAGGATTAATTTTAAATACATACTTTTATATCAAGGCATAAGACTTATGACAACAACAAATCATCACAAGTTCTTTAGCATGCAGAAGATTCACTAAATCTACCAAGAGACTGAGAAAATATTTCAGATAATACAAGTCTTTGGATGCTGGCATGTGTTCTCTTCTCCCACTGACTTCTATTTTTATTTGTTTTAGCTAAAAGCCTTCTAGGGTTCCTTAGGGTTTGGCTATGTGACAAAAGGAGCATTTGATAAATTGAAATGCTCATTGCCCTGAAATAACACTTTTTTTTTTTTTTTTTTTTTTTGTGAAAAAGTTCATTATGCATGTGCCTTCAGTGAGGGGAGTACCTGGCACCTTTGGCAGAAGTCTCGGCCCCAGTTTGCTCCAAGGGCTTAGCTTGACAGCTTGTTGCTACAGTGTGATTTAGTCAATGCAAAACAGTTCTAGAGGGAAATGTAGCAAAGTGGTTTTTTTTGTTTTGTTTTAATGAAGCCACTTTAGCCTTCAAAAAGCCACATACCTGAAATTCCTTTCTTAGGATGCAGGGTCGATTTTGTCTGCTAGATACTTGCAGTGTTATGCAGGGCAGGGGGACTGTGCTTCTCAAGAGCTTCTGGCTCTTAGGGCCTTTTCACCAAGTCCAGCATATAACACCTACATTGCTAATGTGAGAAATTACACAGAACTGAGTTGACGGCAGTGCTTAGACATACAAAGCAAATGGGACACTTGCCAAGACATTAAGAGGCCACAGACTGGCAGCTGAGAGAACAGAGTGTGTATCAGCTCATACTTCCCAGATGCAGAAATATGGCTCGTAAAGATTTTATCACTGCATTAAATCCTATGTGGCTTAGAGAAAAATAGGTAATAAAATCTCTCATCTAGTGAAGGAGAAATTGCTTTATTGTAGTTCAATTAAAAAAAAATGTCATTTGAAAATGCCTCCTATTTACTAAGTTGCTTTCAATATTTCTAAAACTCTGCTTTTGTCTTGTTTTGTCTCTTATTTATTTCACTAAAAATGATAAAATGGAGACACTATTGGAAATCTCTCAGCTGTTGCTTTTAGATCCTCTGACAATATAATTAAACATGATTTTGTAGAAGGTAACGATGCTTTTCATTACAGTGGCCTCACCATGGACCAACTCCAGCTTCCTACCAGTGCAGAAACCTGGGCCATACAATCCACATCTCACCTGTACTCAGTGGAGACTCCAGCCTGCTCCTACACTCCTTCTCTTGCAGTTCCTTGGAAATTCCTGCTTCACAGCAGGCTCCAGGACACCTCCCAGAGCCCTTCTCCAACACGCTTGTTGGGTGCCAAAAGCTGACACTGCTGTAGACCACCTCTCTAAGCCCATTGCTAAAGACCAGGTTTATGTGTATACTTCCACTCCTACTCCAGCAGTTGCAGCTTCCCTGACTTCTCTAAATTGCTAGGAAATTGCTAATGGGTCCCTTTGAAGGGAAAGCTCCTGGACTAGAGGGCATTAGAGCCAGGGATCCCCAAAGAGCAGTAGCAGTACCCGCAGGAAATCTTGTACATCACAGAATCACAGGGTATAACAACTTTAGTCTCCTAACATTTTGTATTAAAATACTTTAATGGTCATCCTGCAGTGTCATTGCAAAAAATAGCTAAGGTTATTTGTTGGTGGCTCTGCTCTTTTCTTTTACAAAAGGACAGTTCCCTAAATGAACACTTTCACAAGTACTCCATCTTGCTAAGAGCTATACACATACCAGAAGGCAATCTTTGCCCTGATTTGTTTGCATGTAGAAATTTCTCTCCCTATTTGAAGTGCAAGCTATTGTGGAAAACATGTTTTGAAAACACGGAATGTGCAGACTTAGTTCTGAGACTTATGTGGCCTTTATTATGTATGCAGTGTGGAAGGTTATCTCAGAGCACTTGTATAGACGCTTTAGAAAAATACGATCTTTGTGTACAGTACTGCTAACCTGTGGGAGAGGAGGGATTGTTCTCCCCCTCGTACCACTTTAGTTTAGTTTTATCCAACTAAAAGTAGAGGAAGACAGTTTAGGTGATTTTCAAGGTGCAGGACAGCACCAGTGCCACAACCGATGTGCCCTAGAGACTGAAAGATCCCCCCGAAAAATCGGACTTCTGTGAGTGGTCCAGGGGCGCTCAGGGCCCAGTCCCAAATGATGCTTGTTCCCCGAGCTCACGAATACAGACAGCAAGCTCCATTCCTGAATACAAGCCAAGAGTGCCTCCCCTCCTCGAGTTACCACGTCTTTCTAGCTTTCAAAATGAAGCAAAGCCATTCCTCCTTCTCCATCACTCAGAAATGCCTTTCCGAAGCTCTTCCTCTTGCCATAAACCCCAGAGGAGAAGGGCTCGGGAGGAGAACAGCGCTAGCACAGAGGCTGGGGCACGGTGCCCGGCGGCGCTGCACAAAAACCTCCCGGGACCGAGCGGGGATGCCCCGAGGCTGACTGCAGGGGGGTCGGAGCGGGCAGAGCGCCAGGGCAGGGCCGGGAGCAGCGGGCGGGCCGGGACAGAGGGCGGCTGGCGGAGGGCCGAGGCGACCCGGGCAGGGTGCCGGGGCCGCCGCAGGGTGCCGCCGGCGGGTGCCGGCACATTCCGGGCAGGCGCACTGCGAGAGGAGCGGGGCGGCGGCGGCACACAGCGCCCTGAGAGACCATGGAGGCGGCGGGGCCGCAGCCGGGCCCGAGCCCCAGCCCCGCGGCGGGGCCGCAGCCGGGAGCTGAGGAGATTGACATGTCCCTGGGTAGGTCCGGAGCAGGGCGGGGGTTGCTGCTTGGAGCTGGGTTGCTGGGGGGGGGGGGGCAGCCGGGGACGGGCGCGGGGCGCTGCCAGCCCCGGCTGCGCTGGGGGGAAGCCGGCTGGGGAGGCGCAGCCGAGGGAGGAATCGGGGGCTCGGAGCCGTGGCGGTGCTTTCCAGGCAGCGCCCCGAAACTTTGGGGGGGGGTTCAAGCGGCACGGGCCGGGAGAGGCTCACGACTGAAAGACGGAGATGAGACATTGAGACATAGCCCGGGGTGTGCGGGTTATTTATAGCTGCTTGCTCGTGATGCTCGTCATTCCTCTGGCAGCGGATATGGGAGCTGTGCATAAACAACTGCCCTTGTATTAACTCCGAAGGCTGGGACGGCAGGGTTTGGGCTATCGATCTTGGTGGATTATCCCGGTGACATCGCCGCTGTGGAAGGAAAGTCCACCAGCACCTTTTAAGACTGGGTTAGCTTCCTGACAGGAGCCCTGCGTCATTTCCCAGCAGTGAGCCGCTTGTCAGGAATAGCAGAACATTTTCTACAGCCAGCTCAAGCTGGTACATGATACTGATGCACATGCCTTTTAATGGCGGTATGAGGATTTAGAGCAATAATTGGTTTGGTCCCTAACTTCATTTGTTTGTTTGTTTGTTTGTTTGTTTTTCCCCATGGTGTTGCTTGTGCACCTGCCTTCTGTTTGTTGGTACGTGATACTCCCCTTTCTTCTGTTCTCCCTCAACACTTCCCTCAGTCAGACCTTCTGCTTCCACCTCCACGTTCAATGCAGAATACGCTTTACTCAGAGGAGAAGAGAACCGCAAAACCAGAGCAATGGTTATGAACTGATACTTTTACCACCAGGTGCATACGTATGTTGGTTCTTATATGAGTTAGCAGTCACAGGTAACTGCAGGAGTTATGCTAAGGCTGCCCTTGTGGATCTAATTCTGTCTTGGAGGCACAGAAGTACCTTAAATGACCCCTCACTTTCGTATTCCATTACGTTGCCCTGTTAACCCCATCATATTTATGGGAAAAGAAGAAAAGGTAAGAACTGATACCCAAAACACTGATAGACCAGGCAGCTGAGCATTCATCTCCTCTTTGCTCCTAGTGAGCTTTTCCTTGCAGTGTGGAGAACCCACCCTGGGACGCCTGTGATGACCTCCCTGCCGAGCAGGCAGGGCTGCTGTCAATATGCTTCAAAGCAGTCTGTGCCCCCAAATAGCGCATATCCCAAAGGCACACTTAGCTGAGAACATTAGCGCATTCATACCAAGAGCATTGCACGGCCTCTCCCAATGTGCTCTCTTCCTAGCAAACTTGATAGAGAAATCACAAAAGCAGTCACGCAGACTATTCTTACATCTGCTCTTGTTCGCTTTCTCTGGGCCTTGTATTAATTTGGACACAGGATTCTCTTGATAGAAAATGACAGGTGACAAGTGCTGGAGGTATGATTTGCTGTTTGTGATAATCACCCTTTGAAAGCTAATGGCACTTTGTGCTTCCACTCCAGCGATTCATTAAGGAGCTAGAGTAGTCTCTGCCTGGGAAAAGGCCTGATTTGAACACTTCTTGCCTCACTAATTTGGCAAAAGTTAAAGCATTCTGCTCGGAGCATACTAGATGCAGTGTTATTAGTTGATAAATGTTTTCTGGAAGGTTTGAGGTTAAAAGAGGAAATTGTTGGAAAATATGAATTAATGAGTAAGACGTCCCTTTGCCATTCCTCTTCATTGGAACAGCCTGAATTAAAAAGACCCCCTTGATTTCAAACCAGCTCAGTGAGAACTGGGCTGCTTTGAGCTGTTTTGGGATGATTTCATGATAGAGCTTTGTGTCTGAAAGTAGTTTGTGCATGGTCCAGCACTGTCTTTTAAGAGTTAAGAACACTTCTTCAAGATGATCGTGAGCTTTCAAAACCCTGCAGAAGCATGAAGAATGCTCTGAATACTGTAGGTGGGATTGCACCTTCCTCTGTGTCCCTTGTGCTCTCTGTCAGGAAGTAAAGAGCACTTCTGTGCAGTTCAGGGGCTGTGCGATGGCGGTGCCAGAGGAATTTAGCTACCTAGATTGCTACCGAGTGGTGAAGCAGCAACACCAGCTCTAGATAGTCAGAAAATCAAGAGTCAGGTCCTGAAGACTGTGGCACTTAAAATACAAAGTACTACTGCTATTTGTTGTGAATGTTGCATTTATTTTACTGGTTTTTTTTTGAGCCACAGAGGCTTATGGCTTCAGGCTTCATTTCATATCATCAAGGGCTAGAAACTTGCCTTGTTTTTTTAAGGCAGTGAGGGAAGTCATGCACATAGCTGTGTTGACTTCAGAAGATGGAAAAGGAAAGGAAAACATCATACAGCCACCTGGTGTCCCCTACACGGTGCAGTTTCTGTGTCTCCTGGGTGGCAGGGAGAGCATTGGAGTGGCCGTCACGGCATGGATGCTTCTGCCAGTTCTCTTCACTTTGACCACATCGACCACAGCCTCCCAAGTCAGACCTCCTCCGTAAATGTTCTCTGCCCAGCACTGAGCTCTAAGTCAGTGCCCCTGCAAAAATCTCTTCCCTGATGTTTGTGCAAGAGAGTGGATCCCTCAGTGGGGGACGTGGGTCTGAAATCTCTGTCCTGCACATGGTAGATATGTGCCGGATGGTAACACATTTTTACATAATTCACTGCGCCTTAATCTCTAGCCTGCAGGAGCTGAGTAAATTGATCCTATGCTTCCTAGCTAAGCTTAATCTTTCATTGTCTGCCACCACAGCTCACAGAACCACAAGCCCCATTTTTACTGTGGACAATCGCAAGTACCAATCGCAAGTGGAAATTGATGTTGGTAGAAATTGTAGCTTTTATGGGTTTCCCCTTTGCCATTTTGATCTAGATGACATCATAAAACGCCACAGGAAAGAACAAACAGATGCCAAAGCTGCAGGGGACAGGCGAAGGCAGCAGATCAAGAACAGGAACTCGGCGTACGGGTTCGGGCGGCCCCGTTTCCGTGCCTGGATGCAGAGGAACTTGCAAGGTACGTGAGCGCCCTGGGCCAGCAAAGCTGCATTGCCTCCCTGGAAAACACGTTTCTGTGACAAAATACAGCTCCTAAATCTGTCTCCTATCGAATTCCTGTATGCATATAATATGTACTTGGGCACTGAACAGCTTTTCTCTTGGCAACAATGGAATATCAGGGCCCTTTCAGAGGATAAATTCATCCATTTCTATCCCACCCTCTCATGAAATACTAATTCAAAGTGACTTAATATCTATTCTCTATTCCCTTTTGGCTTTGCATATTTTAATTATGCCTCTTCCTAATCCTCTTTTTCCCAGAACACACTTAAATTACCCCTTCAGTAACGGTCTTTGATAGCTCAGTTATTGGAGCTAATTTGTCACTTTTGCCAATCATGCTATTTTTATGATGAGGGTTTTTATAATACCGTGTGATCACTGTAATCTCTGTTTGGTTCCACTAGCTTTTATCTTCAAAACTAAAGCAATGCTGAATACTGCAATGCTGCAAGAAATGCCATTTGATAAATAAATTTATCAAAAATTCATTTTTTTTTAATTACTGCTAAATCATTTAACTGAAGATTTTAGTGACATTTTGCAGCAATGTCTTTGCATTCATCACCTTGAGTGCAAGTGACACATTAGGACGGTGGCATCACTGGGAGCAGTCCTGGTCGTCTCAGATTTGCCTCGCACTCTTTCATTCTCACTCTCCACTACATATTGCCTTACTGAGAATCATTCTGGTTCAAAATAGTGCTGATAATTTTCCTTGATCTTTCTGTCAAAAAAAGAAACACAGTATTTGATATTCTTCCACACTTCCGCATAGAGACTACTGCAAGCAGATCAAATGAATCAATTACTTTTTTTTTTTTTTTTTTTTGTAGCTAGGCTTAGAAAAGAGAACTTTTCTGTTCATTTGTAGAATGACTTTTTGCTAGTCTTAGTATTTTACAGGTTTTACTGAGTCTGAATTCAGCCCTGCCAAGGGCAGAGATCCACCATGCTGTGTGGAGCTGATGTCAGTAGCAATTTTAGGAAGCTCAGCAGGGCCAGGAATTAAGCCCATAATTCTTCAGGGGCTCATTCCACTTTAGTCCCTGCTGAAATGCAGCCCCTTGTGGGCTGAGATGTGATAACCGTTATCAAAATGATAATCAGTACTGCACAGTACTGTAATGACAGAGCATGGAGAAGGGTATTATGCTGATTGAAACAGCAAGAGAATTCATGCAAGCGAAGTGCTGTTATCTCTCCTGGAATTTGGCTTGAACCATCTCCTCAGTGGTAGGGGAATGATGATTTTTCTTGACAAGAAATTTGAATTTCAAATCTCCTCCAAAAAGAGTGTCTCAGACATTAGGGCCTTTCCCCAGACTGGGCTTGCTGTGCAGAGGCAGCTCTTGGCCAGTATGGGTGTGCTTAATGCCAGGCTCAGAGCGGGCACCCAGACAAAGGTGGGGGTCCTCCTCAGCTGCTGAAGCTGTGAGCTTTTATTCAAACTTTATTTTATCAATAAACATCTTCCAGACTTTTTGGAGAGATGAAGCCTCCCGTGTGTCACATTTCAGCGTACACGTGACAGACGGAGGCCCTGGTCCCCAGCTGGCATACACGGGGTGCCCCTCGGAGCTGATGGCTCCGCAGTTAGTTATTTACATTGGCTGCGATGCGCCTGAGTGCACTGCTGAGCAGAGGCTCTCTAATAGGAACCGACTGACAGGAGCATGACTTTCTAGTCGGGGTTGCCTTTTGCATCTGTCCCTCCCTTTGCACTGGTGAAACACCCTGGAAAAGCAGCTGAGCTCAGTCTCTCTTGCTGGAAAGAAGTTGCCCTCTCCAGGCAATGCAAGGCTTGGGGGCCTGTGGGAGAGGGGTCTGGTTAACAAGCGAGAGAGAAGGGAAAGCACACGGTAGCTGTCGAAGGGAACAAGAAAGGGAAAAAAACGACTGTGGAGAAAGATGTGAGAGGGAACAAAGTGCTGGTAAATACAGCAAGACCACGTCTGGTCAAAGAAGACACAGAGTACTAAAATCTGGGTGTTTGTCAGGGAGAGTTTTGCACACCTGCATGGCTCCTGCAGCAAGGGCATCATTTCCAAGACATAAGTACTGGTCCCACAAAACTTGTGAACAGCATTGCATTTTGTGCATGTCACCAACCAGTACTTTCTGCCCTTGGGAGCCAAGCACCATGACTGCTGGCTGTGAGGTACCTGCCACAGGCATGCCTTGGTGCTTCTCATTGTTCAGAGCCAGAGCAGCTCAAATGATCGTCAGTTTCTTGCCTTGTAACCTGTGCCACCAGCCTGTGGATGAGCCCCTTGTTATGCCCTGGGGCTAGAGCCTTCATTAATCACCGCGGTGCTGTTCCCCTGACAGCAATGTCACCACTTCCTCAGAGCGCTTCATTTCTAATTGCTCTAAGTCATTATAAATTGCTGTGATGTAGGAATCGATGGTATGGAATCAATACACGTGCCTAACCACTCCCTGGTTTGTGTCACTGAGGTTCTCTTCTCTGGTGTGGGGTTTTAACCACGTGGTTAACTGTCCACTGCAATTCACTGCTTTATGTCTGATTTATACACCCTGGTGAGGATGTACGCACATTTCACTGATAATAGCAGCTTGGAAAATGCCTATTTAATTATGACTACAGAAGTTTGTCATATGGAGTAATTAAGCTTTAATGCACTGTGCTGCTGTCTGACAGACTGAGTGCTTTCCTCTCACCCAACACTTCAGCACACTCAAAAATTATAAACAGGCTTAGGGGAGAAAGTTAAATGCAAGGTGTGTGGTTTCAGTGTATGTATTGTACAGTAACATAAAACAGCAGTAGAAGGTGCCCCCTTCAATATATACAGTAAGTAAGGATATGTCAAGCTAAAATAAAATAAATAATTGTAGGCCAGTCGTCACTTACCAAGTGAGATAGTGTGGGCACTCAGATTTATTCCAGAATGCTGCAAGTGTGGCTTCCAGATGCCTGGGTCACTTGCGTATCTGTATCAAAAGGCTTTTCCATTTCACAGTTAATTCATAGTAGTGTGAGCTCTGACAACAGATTGACAGGTTTCCTGATGTGAGCATTCCTGCCTTTATTAGGAAGCAGAACTGTGGAAGGCTTTTCTCTTCTGTATTCTTTCAAATCAAAGGATATGTTTGTCAGTCATATATAGCATGAAAATGTCGGAGTGAGACATTGGTATGATAAATTATTTTATATTCTGCAAAATTAATTTACTTTTCTGGAATACAGTTATGTGTTTCTTGTCTCATTACTTATATAGCTACTTCTATGTCATATTAAGTTAACCTTGTAATACATTTGAAAAACTGTAATCCTATATTGAGTTTTGAAGGTTGCTACAATAACTGTTAATTTTCTTAGGACCTAACCGTTTTAGAAGGGGGTTTGGACAACAACAATACAATCGAAGACAATTCAGGAATACTGGGCCAGGTCCTCGGAGAAGAGCAGCTGCTGCATTAAATGGAGTGAGCCCTTTAAATCGCCAGGCATCAGCTCAAGAGGTAGGGGAGTACAGAACGTACAGCTATTCCCAAATGTCATGTAGTAATCAGCTAGATTTTCTGATTATGGATCACCCAAGAACAATCTACATAAAAAATGCACAGGCACAGTCTTTTGTATGCCTATGCACAGCATTTGTATGCATAGGTGTGTACAGACATACGCATATAAAACAGCAATTTTCCTGTTGGCTTTATAAGCTTAAGACTTGACTTTTTTTTTTACTGAATATGATTCCATGTTGGCTGTTTTTTTTTTAAAAACTGTTTTTAAAATATTTTAAAATATTTGTGAATATTTCCATAAAAACAAATTTTATGTCTTCTCGTCTTCCTGTCATTACTTAGAGATGACATGGAATTATCATTTAGATAATAGGAAGATGAGAAGACATTGAATTTGTTCTTATGGAAATACTTTAAAATCTTTCTCAATGAGTTCTTGCCACCCAGAGCATTTTCCAAGGCCCAGTGAAGTCAAAGGACAGAATGTTTGTGACTTTAGCTGCCTTTGCTTCTGGGATGTACTTTGTACTATCAAGTGTGCAGCCTTCCCCAGGGACACTGATTACCAGTGCTATGACAACCACAGGTCAGATTGCCCAAGTGCTTCAATGTAAAATGCATTTTTTGTCGTTCATAGCTTTCCTTCTCTCAAGTTTAAATATTTAAATTTTGTCTCAGTTCAAAAACTTTTAAAAAGAGTGAAATATTTTCATTCAGTTTTTCAGTTATTTTTAAGACTCGAGAAGGAAAAAATATGCATTCACCATTAACTTAATTCTAAGAGCTTTCTTCTGAGTATCACTAAAATTAAACTGTCTTGGTGTAGAAGGTGGGAATTGAACAAGTAGACAGTCCTTTGTCATAAGAAGCCATTTTTTCCTTCACTGGTAGAAATTCACTCAATTAGGAGGTCACATATGCTCAGTAAGCTTTTAAAAACAGCAAATTGGTGAACATGATGGCACCTTTAATGGCTTTTTCCTGGAAATATAAGTTAGGGAAACCTAAACTAAGCATGCATGTGCATAAAGTGTGGTTATTCTTGAAAATAACAAGTGCAGTGACTCAGGTATATATTAAGTAGGGCTGGATATTAACAAAGCAATAAGCAGTTGCTGGGAGGCATAATTCTGTGGCAGCTTTTGTGTGTGTGTGTGTGTAAATAAATCAAGTGAGGAGAATGTGGAAACATTTCAGTTATTGGGTAGTAACAGTAATGGTAGTTGTCCCACAGAAATTAACTGAAAGGAGTACGTGGCTGTTTGTATGAGTAATTGCAGGAAGACCTGTGCTAATGTCTTCTGATGTGCTTCATGCTTTGGGGTTCAACTGGGCTATTTATGTGTCTGAACAAGAAAGAGTCAATGACTGAAAAGAAACCAGAGCAAGACTATAATGCTTGACTTATGTAAGATTTGCACTCTACAGACTATTATTTTTTTTGGTATTTCTGTACAATTAGGATGAAGCATTCTCCCTAGTACTTGTAATTTCATGCCCAGAAATTGCGGCACGCATACTGATTGTTGACAACAGTGTGCAATAAATCCAGACACTAAGAGTACAGCAATGTGCTTGGTAGAAATATTCCTGCTATACGAGCCAAATGGAAGAGGCCAGGTTTAATAGGTTTGGTGAGGAAACAGTTTCCCATTCAGAAAACAACAAAGGCTCTGCTACGAGACTGCAGAAGTTGCAAAGAAAAAGCTGTTGTGAATGGAAATATGTGAATGCAGAACACACAGGACAGGGCTGAAACCCCCTCGATAAAACCACCAGTGACACCAAATGTGTCGGTGAGTGGTGCAGGCACCTCAGTACTGTCAGTTCTCAAGCCTGCACTCACTATAAAGAGCTGAAGAAAATGCCAAATGAAGGTGCTCAGGTTTTCAGGCGGTGGCAGTCAGCAGGGGAGGACAATCGCACGCTGTCACTCCTGGTCGCTCCCTCTTTGCCTGGCATGGCAGCGGTGCAGGTGCCGACCACTTAGGTCTTACTGCTTTTTCAGGGCAACAAGACCGAAGATGGTTTCGCCAAAAGCAGCAGCAGTGGGCAGCTGGAGACACAGCGACGGCCACCCCTGGGTCCCAAGCGATTCAGAGCAGCTGCTGCCAGCACCCATGCCCCAGGGAGAAGGTAAAAGCTTTGATAATTTCTGGTTTTCAGCAATTCTCTGTGGCTTCACTCTTGGTCTGCTGCGGCATGTGTGTGTTCATGTGACATGAGAGAAGGACCTTGGGTGTGTTAGGAATGCACCTGGATATGAAACAACCTTTTGTTAATGTCAGGTATGAGGTCTGTTGCATTATTCTAGCAAGCACAATGTGACCTTTATGTTTTTATTAAACTTCTAATATGTCACTCTGGGGAAAGTTTTCAAAGGGTGAAATATCCTTTATTTTCACAAAAGCAGGAAACACAGACTCCATTCTGAAGGGAGAGGCAGGGAGTGAAGCTGTGGGAACAGATGCTGCACCCTGGGATCCATGATGGGTCCAGGCTGCAGGGATCTGGGCCCAGCTCTAGTGTCTATCTCATCGTGGTCCTCACGTCCTCCCTGCTCAAATGGAAGCTGGGTTTCAGTCCTGTCTTTCTTTGCCCTGAGTAGAACATGGACTGAATGGCCTCCAGGGGTCCCTTCTGACCACATTTTTTTCTATGATTTTATTCTATCATTTTTCTTTTAATGAGAAGAGTTCAGAACAAACACAAGCTGCTGTTTCATTTGAACAGAAAAACTTGTTTCACTGAAATTCTTTGCTGAAAAACCTTTGGGGCTGAACTTGGTAAAATATTCTTCAATTGCTTCTCATATTGCTTTTTAATACCAAACTCAGTTGAGTACTTCATCACTGAACTTTAGGAGAGACCTGCTATCATATTCACTTCTGCCCTTTTCTCTCCTTTCTTACCAGCAGGCCTTTCCTGCTGAACAGGGGTCCAGGCTTCCAGCAGAAGCGGATGATGCAGCGGTTCTCCAAAGCCAACTTTCAGAGAGGGGTCAGTACAGATGCATTTTTTGACAACCTGTAGATGGTGACATTTCAGTGTTACCAGCCCTTGCCTAGTTGTATCTTTCCTTCCAAAAGAAACTGGGAGAGATGGATGACTTTACAGAGAATATATGAGAATATATTCCTAGGACAGGGCTATTTAATACAGCTTAATATTCTGGTATCTGGAAAATAAAACATGGGCAGGTGATAAAAGTCTGCAGCTTGTACAGCAGCACAAGGAGAGGAAACTTCAGTGCCGGTTGCCTTGCCTGTGCTGTGAGGAAACCCAAGATGAGCAACTTTCTTGATGACACACAAAGAAAGAACTATTCAAATATACCAAATGAATTACCAGAAAAGGAAACATTGTTTTTGAGATATAATTAAGTGATTTTTAAAATTTATTTCATTGCAGATAGATGCTAATGCAGAAGGGAAACTACCAAGGATGCGAAGGTAATTGGTGAAAAAGGCACACTGCTAATGTGATGTGCTCTTTCAGGCTTGAATCAGAGCTAGAGCTGTCTTACTGTCTTGGCAGGTGGCAAGTGAAACCCAGCCCTGGAGCAGTTCTGACGGTTTCTGTGGCTAATCCCCAGGCAGGCCAGGCCAATGTGTAAGTAAATGAGGTGATTTGTTAGGATGGAAGCCCTACAAAAGCCATTGCAAATCCCTTTAGCATTACTGCAGCTTCACTTCTTTTATAAGGAGGGCTGAGTGAATGGTTCAGCCCCCAAATGGTTAGCAAATGCTGCCTCATTCTGTTTCTGGCATATCCGAAAGGAGATGGTAATTACACATGGTTGGGTTGTTATCTGGAGTAAGGTGGAATGACAGCGGGGGCAGTACATGGGTGCTCCCAGCCAGGTTCTGCTGCCATGGCTGGTGGCAGTGCATGCCCTGAAGGGACAGCTTGTAGTGGCTCTACAGGAGGAGCAGCACTGACCTGCTCGCAGGTAGTGTGGCTGGAGGAGCTCAGCATCAGCTCCACGCTGGGTCAGGGCATATGCAGGATCTGGCACCCAAGCAGGGGCAGGAAGAAAGGTGGGTGAGGGCACTCAGCCCAGAGAGCAGCCCCTGATAGCTGTGATATGACAAAGCCGCAGTGCTGGAGCACAGCCTGCAGAGCAGCTGAGCACCCCTTAAACTCACCCAGACCACAGTGATTAATGCTGTGGGAAGCACGGGGTGCACAGAGGGTTCCCTTATTCCTTGCCAGTTTGCAGATAATAGGAAGTGAGCTGCCTTAGCTGCCTGGCTGACTGCAGACCTGTGCTTTCCCCAGGCCTGGATCCAAGCGCCCGTTCCTGCGAAGCCAGAGGCCCCCACCACGGGCAGCCAAGCCCCAGCCCAAGGGGGTGACGCTGAGGTTCAACTTCCGTGCAATGGCAAACCAGGTAGAGGAGCGCCGAAGGGACAGGCGGCACCTTGCACCCTGCTGCAGCCCTGCTGCTAAGCTGTTAATGTCACGCTCAGGTTTTCAGGGCCACCAGCTGCATTTATCTAGCACAACCTGGGATGAAAGTCCTGCAGCCATATTGGCTAGGTTGCTTGCCAAAATTATGGCATCAGAGAAGACTGTTCAGCAGCTACAGACTCAGCCCAATTTTTCCCGCTGTGTTGGTCCCTCTTGCCCTGTCCTTGTGCTTGCTCAGAGCAGAGAGATGCTCCCTGTGAGTGGGCCTGGCCGGGGGCAGCCATTTCACTGTCGGTGCTCCCCCCTCCTTGGAGACATGCAGCACCTCCTTTGGGCTTTGCTCTCTTTTTGCTTTGGAGACCACCTTGGTGCCACGTTTTACACTGACATATGCTCCAAAAGCCCTGGGGTGGGTCAGAAATCCTGCTCCACCGTCCTTCGTTGCCAGCACTTCTTGTCTGGATGGTTTGTTGTTTTTTTTTTTTCCCTATGCCTTGTGTTCAAATGCCATCTGCTTGCTCCTGTTCTTGCCGAGGATGCCCGGTGTCCTGGGGCTGGGCACTGCTTGGAGGATTTCCAGCTGCACACAGTCTGTCGAGCTCCTTGTCTTCGTGTGATGAGTGGTTTAATTGACTAACTGGCTGTGAAGCACCGTCCTGGCTGATGGGCTCTAATCAATACCCTGCTACAGGTCTGGCTGTGCTTTGCAATGAGACGCAGGACTGACTCGCTCTCCCTTTCCCCTGCAGACCAGCCTGACGCTGGATGAGAGGTTCTCTGGTCTGAGGAATAAGAGGCGCTTTACAGCAGCCCGGAGCGCCGGCCGGACGGTCACCATGCCCTAGCACTACATGCTCATCACAGGGACTGCAGACAGCAGTCCAGGCCCTGTAACGGGCAGCTCAATAAAACTCGATAGATTTCCTCTGAGATAGCTAATTTGGCAACCTGCCGTTTCCTTCCTTACACACAGAATGAGCGAGTGATTGAGGGCAGGGACGTGGCAGCACAAGAGTCAGGGCCACAGCACAGGGCAGGTGGGAGAGGAGCAGGGGCGGTGGAAGGGGATGAGTGGAGATGGATTTGCTGTGCCAGGGAGAGCCGCAGTGCTGGGGCCACCCCCTGCTGCCTGGGGGTGACCACTGTGAGAGGGAACGGGACTAACTCCAGGCTGTGCCTGTGGAGCCTCCCCTGCCTTGTCCCAGAGTTGGGACAGCATTGAGGCCCCTGCACCACCCACCTGGGAGGCAGAGCGTGTGTGGGGGCTGAGCAAGGAACATGCCCCAGCAGCAGCACCACCAGGGATGCTCCAGCGTTCCCCAGCATCCACCTAAGTGCCTGATTTGCAGCATGCACCCAGGACCCCTACCCAAATGTTTGCAGTGTAAGACCCCTACATCCTCTAAATGTCTCACCCTGCCCTATTAGACAGCCCTGGGACCTTGTGTTTTGTTTGGTTTGCCATGCTGTTCTGACTGCTGCTGCCAGCTGTGCTGCCGGAGCAGCTTTCCTCAGCACAGAGCACAGATGGGCTGCCCCAGCCCAAATCTGTTCTTCAGTGCTGTGTAGTTCTGCATTAGGGATTTCATAGGTACAGCTCCACTCGTGCTCAAAGTATCAGCATAATCAAACTTGCAGTTGCAGGAAGAAGGCCAGGCGATACAGCAGTTCAATAAATGTTGGGTGAGAAGTTAACAAGCTGGATCTAGATATTTGTTATTGAAGCTCTGCACCAACTGTGAGTCACTGATCCATTCTCCACCCACTGCTGCAAGCCAGCACTGAGCACACTGGACACAGCCTGTTACTGGGCCCTAAGCTATACTTGTTGAAATAAATATTTGATAGACTGCTTTACATTTTACACCAAGCGTCTTTAACAAGAGGCTGGACTTGAAGTTGGTTTTATAGGACTGTGTGAAATGTTACTAGCTGACTAAGCAGTGATGTATGAGTCCAGTACACCAAATAAAAAACTAACTTGTCAAATGTCACCTCCAGTTATTTACCTTCTTTCAGCAGGCTTTTGTCACAAGCTCAGCCTCTCAGCATGGTGCTGAGTGCCCAGGGGGCTTCTCCCCTTTGCCCCCCATTGCATCACTCCCTACTTCTCACGTGGAAATGAGCACTCGGCCAACCCAGTGGCAGCATCACTGCTGCAATCAAGCTCCTGCAGCCATTTCCATGGATCAGGTGGCACCAAAGCGCAGCTGAAGCAGTGGGAGGTTTTAAAAAGGTTCCTTGTAAAATCTTGGTTGTTATCACTTCCACTTTTAATGTTATCAGCAAAACTGTCAGAGCAGACCTGGCTTTGAGTATGTCCAAAGTGAAATGCAACCTGATTTCCAGTCTAATGAACTGAGGAGAAGACCTCGTCTCTTCATGCAAATAATGTGGAAGTCACTGAAGATGAACAGGAAATACTGTCACAAATGGCAATAGCCCTGATTGCAGTTGCACATTCACAAAAAGTACTGGCAAAAGATGGTAAACTGGCTGAGAAAAAAAAAAAAAACAATACCTTCTTACACCAGGTTGCAAAGGGATGGAGCTGTTCAGGAGAGGAGCCATGAGTGCAGCATCCCTTTGGTGTTCAGAGCACACTCTGATACTATTCTCTTAGAAAATGTTTTTCAGCAATCTGTTCCTTATATTTTTTTTAAGAACTGCTTAAATTAAAATGGAGGACTTAATGATAAAATCTACATTTTTTTTCTAGCTTGATTCCCTCACAGAGCTGAGTGAATTTGCATGCAGCAAGAGACAAAACTAGCTGTGTGCTAAACTCATCCATAGCAAAAAAAAAAAAATCACAACTATCGTTCTAAACACACACTGGGAAGGGCCATAGTCAGTTCACTGAGGCATAAGTACCCCCTTTCTGCCACACTACTAAAAAATTTCTTTCTAAAGTTATCCCAGTAGTGCATAGGGTGAGCCACTGCACAGAATCTGGCTGCCCTTTGAAAAGGGTGTGTGACACAGTTTAACCATCGCCTGGCAGAGCTGTTTGTCCAGCTGGGCAGTTTCTGGTGGTCTCGGTGGTGGTGCCAGTGCCACACAGGCAGCCCACTGGCCCCCTGAGCAGAAGGTGGCAGCAGCTGGCCAAGCCACCCTGCACTCAGCCTGTGGCCACCGAGACAGGGCAGCTCTGCAACCTGGGAAACACTTCTACTGCACTTCAGGCCAGCCAAAGCCATCTTCAGCTCTCCAGATTAACACCTCTGGTGGTGCCTGGGAGGTTTAGAAATGCAGGAACAACTGTAGAGGGTGAGAAGAGAGTCCCCGCAGTGCATCCCAGGAAGCACATCCCTGCACAGTTACTGCACTGAACCCCCTGTACTGGTGATTTCTTTCTTTAGACACTTGTGTCTTTGTGTTTAGTAACTTTTGGTGGTGTTTTCTTCCATAATTTATTTTTGCAGTTTGCTTTCTCTTTGTCTATATTCATTATATTAATTCCTTAGCTTCTTTGTGCCCTTTGCGATTTTTTAGACTAGTGCTGTATTTGATAACCTCCTTTCTAGGAGAAGAGCCTTGGCATATCTTGATGTTGACTGTCTGGAAGGTGAATAATACCTGTGATTGCCTTCGTACCTTTTCAAGCTCTGCTACATCTGCCTGAGATGGCAGGGCTGAGACAGACATGATATTTGAGATGGATTTGTGCAAGGACTCTGCTTTGTTTTCTGTTCCTCTCCCAATAATTCCTAACATTCCACTTGCTTTTTGACCCAGAATAGCAATTTGGAGTATGAAATAGTACAACACATTAATACAGGTTTAATGAAACAAGTTTCCAGTCACAGACCTCAGCATCCCAGTGCACATTTTCTTCAGAAACTGTTCTCACAGCCCCTGTTTCAGTGGTAGATAACACACCTGAAACAACTGCCTAAAAGAGGTGCGCCCAAGGGATCCGATCCAACTTTCCCCTCTAATCCCTTGTGCTGACGTTCAGTATTTTCTTAGGTGTTCATGGGGTGTTTGGTTTGATGCTAAAAGCTGCCTTTAATGACACTAACAGGCAGTGGGGAGAAGGCCAGCTTTCCCTGCAGTTTTCCCCACTTGCCAGTTCTTGACGGTTTTAGTGCCGGGAGATGTGCTTCAAGCGGCTCCCCAGTATTTTGGGGCACTATTGCCAAAGCAATGCAGAGTCCCAAAGCTCCCTAGGAGCAGTGTGGCTGTAAGGTCCTCATGAATAAAAATGCATACTTTTAGGCAGACACAATCATCAAATCCATCCTGGCAACAAAGCAGCAGCCAAGGCATCGAGCAGAGGGGCTGGAGTGTGCTCCAGCAGAGGAAAGAGGAGCTGCTCTGCTGAAATGCCAAATCCTCTCCAGTAAAAACCAGCTGCAACTGTCCCCCCAGCGCAGAGCAATGGCTCACAGCAGTCTCCCCTGTGTTGCACCAGGGTCCTTGTCCCACTGTTTGTCAGACTGGCTGCAGAATGGAGTCAGGCAGTGCATAAACTTGCTGCCCTGCCCAAAGGTGCCAGGGAAAGCGTCGGCGGAGGTGGAGCCTGCTGTCAGCAGTAGCAGTTGTTGGTTTTCAGGGGTCCTTGGAGGCATTCAGACAGCCAGAAACCACAGGCAAAGTATTTAAACAGAAACCCGAGATCCAAACAGCATCTCAGGCACTACAGTTCCCGCAGCGGCAGGAATAAACTGAGCTACAAGCAGAGCACCCGCCAGGCAGCAACCCAGTAGAGAAAAATCATAGCAAGCTGAGAAAAGATGCTCAGCCCCACAGGCTGAGATGAGAGGTATCCCTAGGGGCAGAAAAAAAGCTTTGGCAGGGTGACAATGTGTTTGCAGTGTAGTGTTTAACCTACACTGCCTTGCCAAGTGCCCCTGGGGCAGCAGAGCAATAGCTCATTCCCAATGTCTTCACACCTGGGGGGGACACAGGCTGCAGAGGGGTGTCCCCCCACACTTCCACGTGTCACAAACCCACAGAGCCTTCTCCTGTAGGATGGTGTCCTTCTCCCATGATTGCCCAGCCCCAGCAGCCCCTATGCAGCTTCCCACCCTATGCACCAGGAGGGCTTACCAAACTGGACCCAACACTGAAACAAACTGGAAGGGGGAAAGAAACAGTCTGTGGAAGGTCAAACAGTACTGTCAACTAGCAGAAAAATGAACAACATTCCCCCAGGCAGGACTAGGCAATCCCAGTGCTTTGGTTAAGGCCTTGCAATGGGCAGGATGCCTTGCCTGCACAGCTAGCCAGTGCCTGCTTAGTCAGGACCCTGTGTCCTGCAGTAGGTGCAGGTGAAGCTTGGCTCTGCTTTGTACTCTGGAATGGGACAATCCCTTCCAGAGTTTTACTAATGGACCTTTAACTTCCATTTGCAAGAGAGAGTTATTTTTCCCCAGTGTAGATTTCATTCACTGAAGTCTTATTCTCTCTGTTCATTTGGATCAACTCTGACTGCTTTTATAAGGAACATAATTTAAAGTGTTAAAACGTGGAGGAAAGACGAACAGAAAATTAGATTTGGGCTTTAGCCACTCAAGATCAGGGGGTTAGGATTTAGTACTAAGCCATGTTCTAAATCAGATCTTTCCTAACTACACCAGGAGTGCTGCCAGCTTTCATGATTTTACCAAAAGTCCTGTGATGTTTAATGCTGCAGTTAAAACCCCCGTTCCTGGAGGCAGGTCAGGAGGTGAAAATCTCAGCTTGCCTGTATTAAAAAGTCAGTTTGCAATGCTGTGGTTGTGTGGGGAAGACTATGCAGGAATCTGATTCCAAAGAAAAGGAAAAGCTGGGGGGTAATGTCAATTATTTTTTTGAATGTCAGATTTCTAAGTCAACCTCATGATGAGCTTGACTCATGACAGTAAAATGCTGAGAGCACACTGCTGGGCCAGAATCAATCTACAGTCACTTCTCATTGTGGATGGGAATCTCTGCAGTGCTGACAGCACTCAGAGACCTTTGTCCACATGTCACAGTGCCGCTGCACTTTCTTGTACCACAATACCAGCCCTAGCTTGTTGCAGAAGCTCACACACCTGAAACAACAGATTTGCTCTTTCCGCAGGTCAAGACTGAAGGAGAGCATCAAGAGGATGCTCTGCTCTAAATCACACCAGGCTGTAACTATTAATCCTCCTCTTACTGAGCTCCAGGAAGAGGATGACAAGGCACAGCCTCGCCCTGTGAGCAATGACATGTTCACTCTCCAGCCACTGCCCCTGGAGGCAGAGGATGTCCCCGATCCTGGCTGCGGATCATGGCAGTGTAACACAGGGTGAACAAGGCGAACCCAGACGGGGGTGGGTAGGGTAGGGAGGGGGGCTGCTGTGTGTTGTCCACAAGGCTGGTCACAGCTGGCCACCAGCCAGCTGGGTGAGGCCTCCCCCAGCTGCTCCAGGAGAAGAGAAATTTCCATTCTTGCTGAGGGCATTCAGAAGCCTGGAGGAGCCTGCTGGGAGCCTGTGGTTACCAGCAGCAGCGCCTGAAGCAGGCAAAGTCCTGCATGTATTTTGCCCTCCCCCAGTGACTGTGTTTAGAGAAACAAGGGGCTGCCAGAGGCAAGGGTTTTGGCACTCCACAAGCACGCACAGGTCCTGGAGCAGGCAGTTTTGACTTTGTCATAGGTTCATGCACAATCTTACTCCACAGATGCTCTGACAAAGCACTGAGAGCTCCACTCCCCGAATGGCACTGCCACACAAGGACCTCAGACATCTTTTATATCACACCTGGAGCTTTACTAGGGAGCACCACCACGTAATACCACGAGGTGAGACTGCAATATTTAACACCACGCTAAGTAGGCCTTGCCAAGGAGGTGTCTGCAGCAGCTCCTCTGGGCTGCGGAGCGCACGCACCCTAAATTTAGAATTTCCCCCTGCCCCAGAGCCAGCACAGCACAATGACTCATCTGTGCATTTGCTTAAAGGATTTCAGTGTCGACCAATCAAGGTTTCTTTGTTGACCACAGTTAATTTTGGTATGCACAAAATTCCTGGGTAAAGAC